TATTGCGTTTTGTTGAATGTTGCAATATTACATAATTGCATAAATTTTGTAGTTCATGCTAGAAATGCTTAAAGTAGCTTAGGATAATCCCTGAGTCTCACTTTTGACATAGACGTTAGGTGGAATGATCCACATGGATTAATTTATATTAATTTGATAAATTTGTAAAACGTTAGGTTTATGCATGTTCATTCCCAACGAGTAACTTGTTTACTCACCCCAAAGTTATCAGGTTATTTTTCAGGTGTGAATACCTTGGTTTGGGGTGCACAACATCCCTAGGTTGATTCGTTAAATTAAAGTACTTTTAATGTATTCTTGTTCACATGCAAGTGTTAGCATGTTTAAGTTTTGTTTATAAAGATGTAATGCTTAGCTAGGTTCAATATGCCATTTTTTCCTTATGGTATGTAAATTGTACTTAGATGCACTATTTGGAACCTATTTGATATATATGACATGAGGCCAAAGGTCACAAACTTTAAAGTTCAAGTATATGTATTTAAATTTCAAATTTTGCCTTTGAAATGTAATTTTTCTAACTTTGGAGGTTTGGCAAGTGATTTGGAATAAATGATATGTAATAAGGCCATGGGCCATTGTAACACATTTTTATATGTAAAGTACGTTTGTTGGACCATTTTATGTTGGGGTTTGAGGCTTGGGTGAAGCGTCATCAGTTCTGATGTATAGCAGGTCTTTCAGCACCTTTTCGATTGACCGATAGCTTTTTGGATTTAATTTGAACAGTAAAAAGTCATTTTTCAGTAGCTTACAAACTGTTTTGGTCACAACCGATTGACCGATTCTTCATTTCGGTCGACCAAAGTGACTTTTCCTCAGAATTCAATTTTTTGGTGATTCTGGATTCATTTCAGCCAACCGAAATGGCCATTTTGGCCGACCTAAATAGCTCACATATACAGCTGCCCTTCAGTTTTGTATCAATTTTGTTCCACTGATTTCAATTGGTTATAGCTCCTTCATTTCTGATCCAAATTGGGTGATTCTTGAGCCTAAACTCAAGGATTTTGAGTTGGTTTTCCAATGGTATAAATTCCATTCTCAGATTCAAATCATAGTGGGAGTTATTCATATTTTAGTGAGATACTATCAAATTTTGTTTAAACCGGGAATAGGAATCTTATGGGATTCTTGGCCAAAATTCTTAATTAGAACCTCTGGGAATGTTGTAAAATGATTAGTTTAGGTTGTATGGACCTCATTTGACTTGCTTGGAGTCAAATTTCACTTTTCATTCTTGAATTGACCATTTTGACCTTGATTAACGAATCTTTGCCCGTTTTGACACTCATTTTCTCTTCGTTCTCCTTGTGTTCCGTGAATTCATGGAAAGTCATTTTGGAGACTTAGGGATGATTTATATCTCTAAAGATCTTTTGTTTTATCTTTCGCTTCCGCATTTTGGATCCGTTACTGGGTTAACTTTTGGGTCATCACTGACGCAGCGGGTTGCAAAACTAGGGCTGTCACACTCTTGGTATTTTTGAAAAGAAATAAAAAAATATTACATTTGTTAGGTGAGAAAAGAAAGAAAATAGAAGGAGATAATTAGTATTAACTATTTATCGTGGTTGGCTGATAAATAAAGGGAAAAAAAATGATAATAATCAGGTTTTGAAAAAAAAGTAAATTATTACTTCAACAATATCCATTAGAAATAAATAAAATTGCTGAAAGGCTTAAACTGTTGGGATTTATATGCCTTGACATAACAAATTCTTGTTTAGATTAAAGTGACATATGTTCCTGACGTATCTGAAATATTTATGCTTTATACAATTGGTGAATTCAATGTATTATATTTCGATTCATTATGGAATTGATAGTGTCCACTTAATTAGAAGAGCTATTTATATATGTATGTGATGGCGATCAATATATAAATATAAATAGTAATCATAAATTGTTCATAGTCGGTAATTATGGATGGACTCATAATTAATTAAAACTTGAACTAAATCCACGTTAAGTTGAGATATAGTGTGAGAGCCGTCATATCCAATTGCTCCCTATCACTATCATGGCATTTGACTCTTAAGCATGAGAGAAATATAGACTCTTTTATTAATTAGTAATTACTTTGATTTGTTTAGCGAAATCTTCGGAATCCTTAGACCGATAATTTGGGTAATTATGTAATTAATAGTTAGAGGGTTATATTTTCAATATTTGTATTATTGTTACTTGTATTTATTTTGTATTGATTATAGTTATGGTTGATCACAAAGTAAATTCGAAGGCCTTCGTGTGTTTTTAGACAAAATGATTTATTATATATTTATTTATTTTAATTATTATTTTTGTCAAACAAATGTTTTGTTGTGATCGAGTCAGAAATAATCAAAGGTACTAAAATAAATATATTAATTAAGTAATCGGATTGATGGCTTTATTTATCCGATAACTAATTATGCATAGAGGGGTCAAAGTACAACATTGACTTAGAGGTTATTTATTATTTAATTGGAGTTCAATTAATTTCTTTTAGTGGAATAGAAATTAATTAATGAATTAATTTAATTGGGTCTATGGATCGGGCCAATTATTAATTCATTGTAACCAAGAAAATAATAAGCCGAATAGGATTCTCACTCATAGTCCAACTAGATATTGGAATCCTATTAAATTTGAGATATGTGAATTAGAGATGGAGAACAATTTATGGTTTACTTTTCTGATTTTTAAGTTGCCTATATATACATGGGTTCATGTATATTTTAGGGGAGACTTTTGGAAAAGAAAAGAAATATATTTTTTCTCTCTCTAAATTTTAAGGTTTGCTTTCTCATCTAATGGAGGCTCCTACAAGTCTAATTTTTCAAGGTCATTCATGGAAGTTTATGGGTAATTCCTAAAGGCAAGACCATTACCAAGAAGATGGAGATCTAAGGAGAAGGCATCTAGCAAAGGGATCTACAATAAGTAAAAACATTCACGGAGAGATCTAAGGTTTACTTAAACATTTGATGTAAGTGTTCAATCTATTAATTGAATGATACATCATATTATTATTTTTGCATAAAACTTGTGATGAATCAAGATCTATGAGTCAAAATCTCCCGAAAAGTTTTTAAAACTTACACGTTTCCTAACATAAACGGGTTAGAGAGACAGCAAAATAAAATTATGACTTTTCCACATTTCTTGATTATGCTATTGTGTCTAGTACACTCTCTCAGTAAAATGAAATAACATACTTGAAGCCAGCTTTACTGTGTTCGTAATGTGGCACAATAGACAGACATGAGCAGAAATTAAAGAAAAATGATTTTCTAGATGTGGCTCTTAATTGTGCAAAAATTAGCTGTTTTTAAGCGTGTCACATTTTCTTCACTAATTTTCATTTAATTGGTTAAAACTAATTAGGAACTTTTCACAATTTAATGGCTCAAAAGGGATACCAATGGCAATGAGAACAAAAAATAGAGGAATTGAGAGGCAAAAAAATCATATTTGTTTGACAAACAAGACAAATAGGAATATAAACACAAAAAGATTATTTCAAATTTCAAAGCCTAGATGTGGTATTTGAGAAAAATAATCATTTACCTATAAAGTTAAGGTTAGAATGTCACATCTTTTAATATTGGAGTGAACTTTAGGAAAATAGAGTGGGAATATGCTTTTCTTCTTTAAAAGACAAAAATAAAGAAATTAAGAGTTATTACCATAATTAATTAAGTTTCCTATAATTAAACATTTTATTTTCACACCCAAAGAAAACAAATATTTGGTAAACTAAAGGAAAATGATATTATTGACGACTTTAATACCCCGACATTAAATCGACAAATATAAAAATATGACGTGGTTATTCCAAATTTCAACTTAAATAGTATCATTACTACTTCCATTTGTTTCCATAAAATACTCCATTTCCCTTTCCCTTTCCATATCTTTTCAGTTTTCTATAGCCCCTGTCCATATCTTCTTTTTATTTTATTTTTCTAAGTAAGTTTCAAGGTACTCAAATTTAATAATTAGATTTGTACAAAATCTAGAGTAAAAACTGTAATATTTTATACTTTTTCAATACTTTCGCAATTTTTTTTTTTTTAAATTTTTTTTCTTCTTGCCTTTGTTTTTGGGAATTAGATAGATCATTAACTTTAATCAATATAGCAATTAACAAATTCCAATCAAAGTAATAGATAAATATTAATCATCAAAAACACAATTGAAGTATCTTAATGGTCCTTACAGAGATGCAATTTGAAAAGATACTAGATTAAGATAAACTTATAAAAAAATAAATAACAACTTTCCAAATAGTCAATTACCATGTATTTTATAATGGTATATTTGACATATGGGTAGCCACATAGACTCGGTGAAGTAGCAGGTTTTTATTTGTCGTGCCAAATAGTAGGACTCTAAATGTTAAGAAATTAGGAAGGTCCTACACATTTAGAATAGTATAGATATAGATATAATTTTTTTTTTAGGTAAGTAAATTTTATTTGTTCTTTGTTTTCCCACCATTCCATCACTTGGCATCAAAATGTTCACAAATCCCAATAAAATTTGGATCAGCCTAGACTTGAGTTGTCCTCAGTTAATCTAGCAGTACTCAAAAACTAAAACCAATGCAATCAAGAATTGGTTTAAAGTTCTGAGAACGGTATTCATATTTTATATTAAGAAATGTAGAAATAATTCAATAGCAAGTTTTAAAATCAAATTGAATAAGTTGAGGATGTGTTACAAGGTGTACCAAAAGAATTCTTATGTTAGAAATTTGAATTAGCACATCTCACCATTATTTAAGGAAATTACAGCACATTACAACTAAATTCATACCTCGAATTAGCAAAAATTGGTTCAACATTTTAGTGGTGATGAGCATCGATTTAACACTATAAATATCTTCCAAAGAAGATTGGAATTTCACCAAATTCATTCTATTCAACAAATTCAAAAAAAGAAGATGGGTTTGAGATTAAGTCTTAAGACAATTTCTCTGCTGCTAATTCTAGCACGTGTTGCAGAAGGAGCCGTTTATGATGTAACAAAATTTGGTGCCAAGCCCAATGCAGATATTAGACAGGTGAGTGCTATACACACACACACACACACATATATGATGTTCAAGTCCTATGAACTTAAATAATTTTGTTTACAATCACTCGTTACTCATTCTTGATTTTTAGGCTCTTTTGACTGCTTGGAGAATGGCATGTGGAACGAGAACTGCAAGCACAATTATAATTCCAGCAGCCACATTTTCGTTAAGTCAGATACTTCTTCAAGGTCCTTGTGGTGCCCCTATTGGGATTGAGCTCAAAGGCATCCTGAAGGCCCCTCCTCTCAATCAAATCAAAGCTGATGCCTGGGTTGTTTTCCAGAAAGTTGACCGCTTAAGCCTATCAGGTGGTGGAACTTTCGATGGCATGGGTGCCGAAGCTTGGAAAACTTGTGTCCCAAAGAAAAAATGCCCTCCACGTCCTTCTGTAAGTAGATTCATATAAATATTTATACGTGTATACATATATATAATATATTTGCTTCTGAAATTTCAAACTTCAATTAATTTTGTTCCATATATGTAATTTTCCTTAATAAGTTATATGTCGTCTTTGTGACTGGATGATATATAACATGCAGGGTGTACGGTTCAACTATGTAAACAATTCTATGATCAATGACATAACTTCCAAGGACCCCAAAATGTTTCATATTACTGTTTTCGGAGGCACTAATGTGACTTTTCAAAGACTTACCATCGTTGCACCAGAAGATAGCAGGAACACTGATGGACTCCACATTGCACGTACAAGCAACATAAAAGTCCTTGATTCAAAAATAGGAACCGGGGATGACTGCATATCATTTGGCGATGGTGCCCAAAATATTCACATTGAAAAGGTGAAATGTGGACCTGGTCATGGCATCAGCATTGGAAGTCTCGGCAAGTACCCAAGTGAACAACCTGTTTCTGGAATTACAGTTAAGGACTGCACCCTCACTAGGACAATGTATGGAGCAAGAATAAAAACATGGCGTGGATCCCCTCCTAGCACCGCCTCTGATATTCGTTTTGACGGTATTACCATGGACAATGTTGCAAACCCCATCATCATCGATCAAGAATACTGCGATGCAAGATTTAAATGCCCAGCTAAGGTACTTAGACTTGGACTAAAAATCAATCAATTTTATTATTATTTTTTTATATTGTTTTCTTTTTCAACAAACAAAGAAATTTAACAATTTCATTGATTTGCTAATCATTTTCGATGTTTAATTTCAGCCTCCATCTAAAGTTAAGATCAGCAAAGTGAGCTTCAAAAACATTAAAGGCAGCTCCAAAACCCCGGCTGCTGTCAAGCTTCTTTGTAGCAAGGATGTGCCATGCGAAAATGTGGAGTTTGGTGACATTGAGCTGACCCATAATGGAGGCCCTGCCAAGTCCGAAATTACAAATGTTAAGCCAATTGCTTGTGGCAGAGTAAATCCTGCACTGGGAAGAGCTTAATCTTCTTGGTTCTAATCAACTCCAAAGGAAGGTTGAACAAAAGTTGTTTCGTGAGTCGCTATTTTATTTTCTCCTATTCATGCTAAATGCATGATATTAATGTTGACAAAAGCAGTGTATTGTTTATTGATAAATAAACACTTATTGGATTTATCAAAAGGGCCTCACAATTGAAAATTATAAAATTATTCAATTCATATTGTTATGTCAGTTTCTTTTTTCAGATGTACGTTTGGATTGAGGTTATTATCCTTGAGATTTCATCATTGCGACTTTTGCTAGTTATGCTTCAGGAGAATATGATTCATCATTCCTGCCACATAAAAATTCCTTAAAAGAAAATGATGCAAACGTATATACAAATTTATATATAAGCACATATATATATAGTTAGTCATAAACCATTTTGTTGACTAAGAAAATGTACTCTGTTATTGAATGTCTCTAAATACTGATTATGCATTTTGATCAAATATTAAACCCAAAGAAAAGATATGATCATGTCAATTCCTTTTTAACTAAGTTTCCCAAGCTGCCATCTCATTCATTGAGATTAGTTGAAGTAGCTGGTGATACACCTCCAAGTTTTGCAACATCCAATTAACATGACCTTGGTAAAATATTACAAAGAAGATGGGGAGATTGATGGTGATGTACTAAGTAGGATTGAAGCCAACTGGACAAAATAGAGGCTAGGTTGTGGTGTCCTTTATAACAAACGAATACCAAAAAAATTATAACCAAAAAAAAAATTGTATGGAGTGGAGTATTGAAAAATAAATAAAAAACATCACATGGTAACATTAGATATTAGCGGCTATAAATAATAAAAATAGAGAAAGTACACTTAGATGGTAAAGTCATATCAACCAAGGCCAGATGATGCACCTTTTAAAAGTATAAGAGTTGTTTGCTTAAGAAGGTAACATACAAAGGCCAGGAAAAATAGAAGATTCAATTTTTTTTTTTTTTTTTTTTTCTCTTTTTTATTTTAAAATTCTGTATTCCCTTTATTCAATCAATCCTTTATTTTTACCCTTAAAAGTTTTCTCATTTTTTTTTCTTTTTATTTTCTTCTTCTTTTTATTTTTCTCTTCATTTGTTTTTATTATTGTAGTTAAACAAATGTAATGAATTTTTTTTTTAATCTGAAAAAAAAACCAATATAATGTAAGCATCATTTTTTAAAATAAATACTAAAAATAGAGAAAGTACATTTAGGTGGTAAAGTCATATCAACCCAGGCCAGATGATGCAACTTTTAAAAGTACAGGGCCTGTTTGGTATCTGTTTTGCTTCATGTGTTTTTGTTGCAGGCCTGCTACAATAGTAATTTTTTAGCCCAAAATATGTTTGGTTCGGTCTACTTTGTTGCCAATAGTGTCAAAACAGATTCAATTTTTAGGCCAAAAATTAAAACACCATTTTGGTGTTTTACTGTGTTTTGGGTACTATTGACCCAAATAATCACTTTAGCAGAAGAAGTAAAAACACCACTCAAACTAGACTTGCGACACGTACATAAACCAAACTTAAAACATTTCAGTCATTTTCTAGGGTTTCTAGAGAGCTCGAGCGGTGGCGATTTTGGGGCGACTGTGCTGTGTGCTTGTTTGGCTAAAATCCACCAAACCGACCACCGATCTTTGCTCTTTTGTTGTCTTGGTCGAAGAACAAGGCAAGAATCGGAGAATCTAAAGCGATTATGGCTCGAAAATAGGTCATCGTATAAGCGATTGTGGCGATTTTGTGGCGACTCTACACTATGTGCTTGTTTGGCTGAAAACGATGACCGATCCTTGCTTTCAGTGGTGTTTTTGCTCAATCTGACCATCGATCTTTTCCATTTGTTGTCTTCGTCGAAGATCAAGGCAGGTTTGAGCAAATTTTACCTTTTTATTTCCTAAACATTTAAGTTCATTGATTTGAAACCCTATTTTTTTTTTTCTTCTGAAAAACGACCACAAATGCAAGTTTTCTGAGCTTTGATTTGGTTCATTTTTCTTCAAAATCATGCTTATTTATTTGTTTATGAATCAATCAAGTTGCTTCCAAATGTCTCTTGTCTTGGCCTGTTGGACCTCTTGTCTTGGCCTGTTGGAGATTGGGTCTGTCTCATATTTATGTTGGTTTTCAAGTTGTCTATGATCGATTTAAGTTTGATTGCAAGAAAGGGTTGAAGTTGTGATGATTTAGGTTATATTTTCGTCGCATATTTAATTTTTATTTTTGAAAAATTCCTAAAAATAACGAAATTCGATTGGAGAATTGGAATCCCCAGAAAGAACATATACGCATTGTTTTAATTATAGATATAATTTTATATGCACGGCAATTTTTCAATTTTGGGAAATTGAGTAGTCTCTCAACTCTCAAGCCCTCTCTCTGCAACTGCTAACTTGTATGTATGGGTGTTTTAATTTTTTTTAAGCAATCAATTAATCAAGTTCTGTAATTCTTGTTTTGCAAACTAAATCCTATTTGGTGAATTTTTTTACCGTCTTTTTTATTATTTCTTGCATAATGTGGTTGCCCTCGAATTCAAACATTATTTTGCCATAAAACCTCATCCATTGATCGAATTCGTTAGTGTTAAAATTGTTGTTGAGGTGCATTTTTCCCGTTCTCTTTGCTGGTTTATAGCTTCAGAGGCTTTCAAAAAGTAGACAAATTCTTGCACTTTTTGTATACTTGTAATTATGAAACTTCATTTTATGGTTCAATGTTGCAGTGACCCTCATATATTTCTAGTTTCTGGCAAAATTAAACCTGTTTATGAGAAGGCATTGGTGTTGTATACTGACACCTCAAACTTTATCACTTGATGCAACTTGTAAGTGGTTTTCCTCTCTAGGATTCATAACTCTAGATTACATATTTCCTATGCGTGTATATTTTAGTTTAAAGTGATTGGTTGAATTTGAATACCGCATAACCATATATACTTTTTACTGTTATTCTGAAACAATTAAGTAGAATTAAAGAAGAAAGATACCATAGCATGTGAATTGAGCAAGGCTATGTAGTTAAATAGAAGACTGTGTTGATCAATCAATGAATTTGAGGTTTCAATTTTTAGTTGAGTATTGAGGAGTACTATTTCCAGTTTCACTTCACTTCTAATGTACTTACCAATTCTGTGCTATGTAAAATGCAAATGGCTTTAGATGATCCTCTTGATGTATTTTTAACAAATTTAACCCAAAATATTTGCTTTGTTTTTTGTTCTATTTTTCTCTTGATATTGGCATGTTCATTCAATACCACTTTGGAATCACTCTCTCACAATCTATGTCTATGTATCAAGATATCAAACTTGGTCAAAATCTCGATGTTTGTCAATACTGACATATGTCCTCCCCAGTTTTAGCTGTCTAGTAGAATTGTGCGACCAAACAAATTGGATGCTCTTATATGCCAGACGGGAGCCTGTATTAAATAAATTATGACCTAGTTTTTATTTGTGTTTTGGCATGCCAAATTTCTTACTTGTTGATGTTGTTTCTGCAAATTTAGTTCAAGGAATATGAGTTCCTTTTAATACTTAAATGATGCTATAGCCCATAGATGGTTAATGATCTGTTTTCCTATCCCTGGTGTGTCTGTGTAACAGGGAGTTCATGATATATTCCAAGGTTCACCGGATCGGTCGTCCAGATGAACCAAGAATAAACAAGATTGTGTTCATTGGGAAAAAGTTAGACGGACAGGAATTAGAGAAAGGTTTCTAGTCTTGTTTACTGTAATAGTAGTATCTAATTAAACATTTGGGATTGTGATTTTTTTTTCTGGTCTAACATATTGTACTCTGTCATAAGTGGATATGTACTGGGACTTGGGGATAAATTGTTTTTTTTTTCGAAAATCACTTGGGGATAAATTGTTGTTGTCAATAAGAACCTCAAGTTTCCTGGATTTTTTGAAGAATGATGAATATAATATATGCAGTAAGCCATTAACTTTTTATGTGTTTGGTTATTTGTTTTGGTATACTAATCTGTTTGCATAGTGGATTTATTTAGTCAGTTTCTATATAATGCCAGATTGCGAGGACAGGATTTTTTTTGCCATTGTATATATATATACAAGGCAAATGAAATAAATAGCTTAGATAGGCCGAGCCTATACTTTTTTTGCCATTGTATATATATATACACATGTTTGTGTGTTTAAATTTCAATATATTTATTAAAAATATATAGACTATTTATATAGAAATAAATTTATAAATATATTTAAAATTTATAAAAATAAATTAAAAGCAGTGATAACCAAACATGTTTTTTATTTCTGTTTTATTTTTTTTTTACAGCAGTTGGAGTTACCAAATATGTTTTGTTTTCAAAATTCTTAAAACGCATGGCTTACCAAACATGTTTTACATGTTTCTGTTTCCAACATTTTCATAACAAAACATCGTTCCCAAACGTGTTTCCGATTTTTGCCAAAACACTCTAATAGTAAAAACATTGTTTCTGTTTTAGCCAAAAGCAAAACGCATGCGACGGCCCTAAGAGTTGTTTGCTTAAGAAGGTAACATGCAAAGGGTTAGGAAAAAGAGAAGATTCATTTTTTTTTTTTTATTGATTCTCTTTAAAAAGTTTGTATTCCCTTTATTCAACCAATCCTTTATTTTTACCCTTCAAAGTTTTCTCATTTTTTTTCTTTTTATTTTCTTCTTCTTTTTATTTTTTTCTTCATTTGTTTTTATTATTGTAGTTAATCAAATGTAATGAATTTTTTTAAAAATTTTAAAAAAACCAATATAATGTAAGCATCATTTTTTAAAATAACTCAAACATTTTTTCATCAAACACTGTACAACAAGTTAGTCACCAAATATGTTTTTATTTCAAAATAAATCACACCACAAAAATATATTTTTATATATCTATTTCATATTAAGTTGAAAATGCAAAATAGAATTTGTTGCCAAGAAAATCCTTAATGTCCAAATTTATGCTTTCGAATGTTACCTCAGTTGTTTTTTGAATTAGGAGTATTATATACAATATGAATTTAGAATACGACACCATTATTGCACTAATATTTCTCGACTTGTCGTCTTTGTGCCCCGTTAGCTATTTATCATGTTTAATAGGGTGAATTCCTTACTCCGTCCCTACAAAATCTTGAGGGGCAAACCTCTCCAGCTAGTTCACCTTCAATTTCTTATCGTGCGCTTTACTTGGCTTAGAATTTTACACGTCATCTATAATTTTAACTTTGGTTGATGGTGCATGGTTTTGGTGGGTCCATTTGAGCAAATCAAAACTTCTTTCGTTAACTCGGAAAATTCTGTTTTAATATATTTACTATTAAAAACAACAGTTCAATGAAATATGAATTCAAATTCCAACTCATGTGTGTCATCTTCGGATGAATAGCAGAGAGGTGTACTACAAAGTGTGTGGCCAGTATAGTTTTTTCTCATAATATTTTTCTTTGGATTTTCAATGATAGGAAAGAAAATAGAAGGAGATAATTAGTATTAATTACTTATCGTGGTTGGTTGATAAAATAATAATAACCATGTTAGGATAAAAGAGTAAATTATTACTTGAACAGTATCCATTAGAAATAATATATATTGCTAAAAGACTTAAACGGATTGGAGAAGCAGCAAAATAAAATTATCACTTTTCCACACTTCTTGATTATGCTATTGTGTCAAGTACACTCTTTCAGTAATATGAAATAACATACTTGAGGCCAGCTCTACTGTGTTTGTAATGTGGCACAACAGACAGACATGAGCATAAATTAAAGAAAAATGGTTTTCTGGAAGTGGCTCCTAATTGTGCAAAAATTAGCCGTTTTTATAAGTATTTCACACTCACAGGTATGCTTTACCAATTTCTTCACTAATTTTCATATAATTGGTTAAAACTAATTAGGAATTTTTTACCATTTTTAAGGGCTCAAAAGGGATACTAATGACAATGAGAACAAGAAATAGAGGAATTAAGAGGCAGAAGAATCAGATTTGTTTGCCAAACACGACACAGAATAATAAAGACACAAAAAGATTATTTCAAATTTCAAAGTGTAGATGTGGTATTTGAGAAAAATAATCATTTACCTATAAAGTCAAGGTTAGAATGTCGCTTCTTTTAATATTGGAGTCCAATTTAGGAAAATAGAGTGGCAATATGCTTTTCTTTTTTAAAATACAAAAATAAAGAAAATAAGTTATTACCACAATTAATTAAATGTTCTATAATTAAACATTCTATTTTCACACCCAAATAAAACAAATATTTGTTAAATTAAAGGAAAATGATATTATTGACTGGTTATTCCAAATTTCAACTTAAATAGGCATCATTACTACTCTCGTTTGTTTCCATAAAATATAACCTTTTTTTTTTTTTTTCCTAGTTGGTACTCACACGCACTTGTCTCTTTTGAGATTTGAACCTCTGACCTCCTGTTGGTAATACTTCCTTTCCCTTTCCTTATCTTTTTAGTTTTCTATAGCCATATCATCATCTTCTTTTTATTTATTTTTCACAACAAGTTTCAAGGTACTCAAATTTAATAATTAGATTTGTACAAAATTTAGAGTAAAAACTGAAATATTTTATAATTTTTCCATGCTTTCACAATTTTTTTTTTTTAAATTTCTCTTCTTGTCTTTGTTTTTGGGAGTTAGATAGATCATTAATCTTGATCAATATAGCAATTAACAAATTCCTATCAAAGTAATAGATAAATATTAATGATCAAAAACAAAATCTGAAGTATCTTAATGGTCCTTACAGAGATACAATTCGAAATATAAAACAACTATACGTATACATGGTGATTGAAACTTTAATCTCCAACAAAGATACTAGATTAGGATACACTTATAAAAAAAATTACAACTTTCTAAATAGTCAATTACCTTATATTTTATAATGGGTCCCATTATATTTGACACACAGGTAGCCACATAGACTCGGTGAAGTAGTAGGTTTTTATTTGTCGAGCCAAATAGCAGGACTCTAAATGTTAAGAAATTAGGAAGGGGTTTACACATTTAGGGCCTGTTTGGATTGGCTCTTCAAACGCTGCTTTTGACTTTTTAGACTTGAAAGCTATTTTGAGTGGTGTTTGCCTAATTTTTTAGAAGAACTTTTGGACCTTAGAAGAGCGTTTAACGCTCTTCTTTAAAACACACTGGAAGTTGTTTATGAGTTTAATGAAACTTTCAATATTCCAAGCGTACCCTTCTCTTTAGGCAGTGAGAAAATAAAATTACAATATATGCCATTATAAAAAGGCGTCTTCTTCCAAAACCCTAACACAACTCAAAGGACAATTTTTACAACTCAAGCACAGGGCGATATGAAAGTTTATCATCATATTCGGTAAATATGTTGATTCCTTTTGTCAAGGTCAGCTCCCCAAGCCGATCTTCATCCGTTTTCTCATCCTTCTGTATGAAAGCATGAAGAAGGGGAATATTTTGATTTACGGGAGAAAGGGCCTCTTTTGGAATCAGGAAAGCGAAGAACCATTGGTTATTGATATTAGCATATAGAAGAAAAACTTCATTGTTTGAGTTTTGCACTATGAAATGTCTTTTCGGAAGGAGATGGAAGTGAAATGGCTTAGAAACCATTGTTGTATTGGTCGGAGGGTCAATATATACGTGTTTAAATAAGTGGTTTGGTCCTTTTGGTTGTTTGATGTTCTTGGTGGCTGTTTGGTATCCTCTTTTGTGACATTTGTGTTCTAAAATATATAATGAAAAAGTGATGTCCTGTAATTTTAATTTGATAAAAGTCTAATATTCTATCATAGTTTGGCTCTCTAATTTGAACTAAACATTCCATCTTTGACCTCTAACAATGCAAGAATCTGTTTGTGTTTATTTTATTATTATTATTTTTTTTTTCACTTGAACAGGCTTTCCCCCTCCATTTGACTTCATTTTTCCCCCTCCATTTGACTTCATTCTTTAATTTTTCTACTTATTCAATATATTGCTGATTAGGTATCAAAATCTAATTTTTTTCATGGATAAAAAAATTTCTCAAATCCCAATTTTTTGTTAGGTTGCTTTTACCTACAGAAATGCTTACTAGGTGAGCATATGTTCTAACTTCAAATATTAGGTTAGGTTGCTTTTGGTATGGATAATAATTTTTTATTATCAGTGAATTTATTATTTTGTAGATAAATACTACTTGATTGACTGAGAAAATACTGGAGAGTTATTCGGAACTTATGTCTAGATAAATATTTTATTTTGTCATATTAATGATGAAATTATGTCTAGGTAAATATTTTATTTTGTCATATTAGTGATGAGATGGAATTGGTATTTTTTTTTTTAGCACAATATACTGTTGGTATGTGAAATTAAATTTGATTATATTGAAAGTTTTTTTTGTCTATGCTTAGAAAAGAGTTGGGTATGAAAAAACAGTTAAATACTTTAGGTTACCAAAGAGTCCAAAATAACAATAAGGGCAAAATAGTTATTTCAATAATATAAGAGCTTCAACAAATACTTTGCCAAACATTTAGAAAAACTCTTCTGGTATTAAAAGCTCTCCTAAAATAGCTTCCAAACACTAACACATAAGCCAAATGAAAGTAATAGCTTCTATTTCTCTTTCTCTTTTGCCTAAAAGCAGAAGCAAAAGTTATGCCAAACGAGCCCTAAGAATAATTAAGATTTAGATATAATTTTTTTTTTTAGGTAATTAAATTTTATTTGTTCTTTGTTTTCCAACCATTACATCACTCGGCTTCAAAATGATCACAAATCCAAATAAAAATCGGAACAACCTAAACGTGAGTTGTCGCCGGTTAATCCAACAGAACTCAAAAACTAAAACCAATGCAATCAAGAATTGGTTTTAAGTTCCGAGAACCGTATTCATATTTTCTATTAAGAAATGTAGAAATAACTCAATAGCAAGTTTAAAAATAAAATAAAATAAATCAAATTGAATAAGTTGAGGATGTGT